CAGACCGCCAAAGCGATGATATCCATTGGCAAATTGGCACGTGCTAGTATGCCTTGCACAATTGGAATAGATGGCGTCATGAAAGAAGCTCCCGGAGGTAGCATTCTTGCTAAATGAGCGGCGGGACCTTCAATGTAATTAGCATTAGATGTGGGCTGTTGGAGAAAGATGACACAAACCTAGGAACTCCTCATTGATGATTTCGATATCTTCGGGATCGATACGAGGGCTTTGCATAGCAGACGAATTTTTAGAGGACGGCGGCGGTGTGGGAAGATTAGAGAGCGGCTTGTAGAATTGCCGAAAGTATGCGTCGTCGAACTCGAAGTCATCATCGTAGGTGGAGATGCACCTAGAGTGTCCCAGCTTGGCGGCCATTGTTATATGTAATTAGGTATATGTGATTAAAGTGACGATATTTTTTTAAGATGCTAAGCAACTAATGAACCACGATGGAAAGCGAGAAGAGCTGCTCATATTTGAACAAAACCTTATGCTGTACTCGCAGATATATTACCTAGAAGTAGAAATATATCACGCGCTCAAGCTACTCGAATAGTCCGCTAGTGAACGAGTCGCGAATTGGGCCAGACCTAACAGACCAGATAGCTAAGGGTATCTTATATACGCAAATGATGACGCTAGTGAAAGCGTCTCCGGGTATTCGGCGAGAATCGAGAGGATGAAACAATTAATACTCGGGAGGGTAGATGATCGAATATATATACCTAAACAGATATATAAATGGAATAGATATACTACTAGAATAGCTACCTGGCAGGCAAGAACTGGGTGGATGAGGCCAGGGGGTTCAAGTTTATTATGCAGAAAGGAACCGCACGGGTCAGAAGCAAAGCCGAGCACTCGCAGCCCTGTCCATGTAAGTACGAGGTTAGGTACCGCATACGCCCTAATGCATGCATAGCCATTATTAGTATTGATTGTGCCAATTGGATGCGGTAACCTCGTGCTAAGGTACGGGGAATTTGTGAGTAACCTCAAGGAGGGAAATAAACGAAGCTGAATCGTAAGCGCAATGGCTAAAACATTAGCTAGATCCTTTTTCTTGAGGCGAGTATAGAAAAGACCTAGGTCCTAGGAATTCATCACTAAAACACCAATACCTGGAAACGTTCGTTACCTAGGTGAGTAAATATTAACGAACTTGAAATTGGGAGATGCTATTACTAGTACACAACACACCACACAATGTAAAGTTGTAAACACTGAACAGAGCTAGGGGAGGGGAAGAACCAACTTTGAGATCACGCAAGCTTCCTTGTAGCTACTAATGCTACGACTACATAATAGTACTGTGGTCGATCTCCAAGTTTCTTTTCCCTTTTGGTAAGGGGGTCTGAATATCAAAATACGTATTGGCAATTGCCTAGAAGCTTTCGTTGGTCTGATGTCTGATGTCTGATGTCTGTGTTCATCTATGTTTATCGTTCGAACCTTAAAGCCCTTGGCAAGGATGGCTAACGGATTAATTCTTAAATCGGCGAGATCCTCACCGACCAGATGTTAGATAGTCCAGGTAGGCTAAGTTTGTGGGTTGAGTATACTGTATGTAGTAGTACTACTACAGGTGATAGTACTACAGTAGGCGGTAATAGGTAATAGGTGGTGCAGAAACAGCAGATGGATACTGAGATAATCAAGCGAACTCGGTCTAAACTCACAGATCCGATTGCCTACGAACTTGTCCGGGGGACGTCGTCATGTCTCGGATCAGACCATGAAAAAATGTGCATTAATATGGTGCTATACCAAGGACCAAGGTACGATAGCGGGTCTTAAGCTCGAGTCAATGGGGGAATCCAGATTTACTGGTTTCCTTTGCCCGTTCGTAGACGTTCGGCTAGACAGACCCCATAGATGATAGGCGGCAAAGCACCATCTATGGATAGCAGCAGGAAGAAAAAAAAATTACGTAGTAAGAAAAAAAAAGCCATGATGGCGGTAACGTGCTGGTATGGCATCTGGTGTGGCATTTGGTGTGGCATGGGTTAAGACGCTTTTAAAGGTTAAAGGGATGTTCAAGACGTTGGTGCAATTGCGGTCGGGCTTCCAGCGGTGAGTTTGTCTTGATTTGATGAATGGATTGGGTGTTATAAACCTGTAGCCTGCAAATGTAATAAACTTGATCTTTGGTGAGTTTCATGGATGGAATGGATGGGATGGATGGAATGAATGGAATGGATTCAACGAAGGCGGGGGGATGATGAGTTGAAGCCCCACTAAATTACCCCTACACCTGCCCTACCTTCTTACCATTCAATGCCCAGGTGTTCTTACCATTCTTTACTTGGTACAATCCAGTACTGCGTAATGCAAACGAGAAGCTACAGCTGGATCTGCATAAACATAAAGTTCTAACCTTGACTTTAGTTCGTATCATAGTTTCGCTATACATACCTAAAGTTAGGTACGTTGGTGCATATTCCTGGATTGCAGCCCTGCTGCCCTGGAGTTTACAATGTACAATACATCCATATGGATACATTATCGGGGATGTTCATCTTATGTTGGTCCTTTACTGCATAAAACCTTGGAGGTACTCTCAGTTTCCACGTTTCCGCACAGAAAGATCTGGTACCTCCGATAGGCGTCAATCGCTCAGCCATTACCCCTATTAGTTCTCTTATTGGCTATTTAGCAGCAATCCCAATAATACGAATTACAACAACTTCCAGATCATTACCTTATTCTACCACCATAGCCTACTGTTATCCATCCTATATCCATCGATTGTCAATCCTATTAAGATCAGACCGAATTGCCTGCCCACCTAGTGTCTGTCTGTAGTGTATGTCCTGTATGTCCATCTACTGCTACTACTACTACTACTACCTAAGACTTAAGTACCTAGTACGTACGTAACATTGAATTCTACGACTCTACTTCGTACCGCTCTGTCTTTCAATCTTCTTGGGCGTTCGACTATTCCGTGCGCCAACCCGACGGATCTCCTTGGGGATGCATAAGCACGTTCGCTAGTTCCACCTTCACCGCCTTCTATACAACCCCAGGTCCTATACAAATGCCAAATGGTAAGGCGACTGACGGGAGGACGGGACCGGTAAAAAACTGTTTGGAAGTTAACAAAGAAGTGACGTGTAGCATGGCGTATCACACAATCGCCGGCGCCTCCTCGGATTTGAGCTCTCGGACCTAGGGCGCCTTCTGTGCGCGTCCTGATCAGCATAGCATACCGATCAAGTATGTGGATCTCCTCGTTTCCACGTCGCCTAAAAATAAAAGTAAAATATCCTTACAGCATACACCCTACGTAGGGGTCTTACCATCGACCCATGATATCCCATTAGTATTCGCAAGATCATCCCCTCTTTTACGAGGCCAGCGTGTCACTGCACCTCCTTCCAGACTCGTATGTTAAGATTATATCGACATCGAAGGCCTGCATACAGTATATTAACCCCATCCGCTTTTCCGAGCTTCCAACGTATCGGCCAGTCGGCATAGGTCACGGCAAGACGTGCGGCTGAAAATGACAGCTGCAGGTATGAGGTTAACCTCGTAAAGGTTTCTAGATTTGTGTAAGCTCGAACGTTTCTTGTCGAGATATCTTCTTCTTCCACCACTCACAACATGGGCAGTCTACGTGTACGATCTCACAGTCTTTTGAAAGGCTCATGAGAATCATCCGTTCGCTCAGGTTACGCACATGTTATATGTTATATGTTACATGCAACATTTGACAATCAGTAGATGCAATCAGATCAGTGATGGATGAATGATCGTCAGGAACATGAAAATCAGTTCTAGGCTTCTAGCCTCCTCCTAGGACCTCCCCACATCCCACATCCCACAGTGTCCACGCATACGCATCCCGGCATTGCGGTACTCTCAGTCTCACATTGCTGATCAGATACTCGCCACGACGTTACATGAATCGCGGCAATAGCACAGCCTATTCGACTTCAAACCCGAGAGGACGGAACCCTTGCGGCTACGTCAATGAGTTGTGCTTTTCAAAAGGCTATCGGTAGCTCAATAGTAATAATAACCACGACTTTTTTTTTTCAATATATCAATTACGCTAGTCAAGCCTCCCTAACTAATCAAATACTGCTAGGTTATTAGACGCTATCGCAGAATAACAGCATAGTCACATTGGACTATTGTACAATACAATACTTTATGAAGTCAAAGCACACCTAGGTGCGCAAGCTATCAGCCAAGGCACAATCTCGTCGACCACGTGCTCGACTTCGACGATGTTCAGAGAATGACAACCTGCCGCGTCAGGGTTTTTCCTAGAAGAACCGGTCACATATCGCGAGACATATTTCACCTGTGCTTTTATTTTAGACTGCTCCACGAGGCTAACGAGAACGGCGTATAAGTAGGGACACTAGCGCTGTCAGAACCAAAACTGTCAGACGTTGATGGTAAGAATTCGAGTCTGGGCCACCCACGCTGACGACAGAATGCGCGCAAATCACGGACATGGGGACGCTGATATAATCGCATGTCTATAAAGTAACTTGCGACGTTGACTGATTTTACTAAATAGTGCTACCTAGAATCCTAGATGTTGCACGTTCCATAACAATCCATGTGTGAAGAGGTGTGGTGGCCGGTCACTTCAAGACCTAAGCGTCGATGAGGCCCAAAATCAAAATCATGAACATCTGAGGTATTGCCCACGTCGAGCAAGAAACTCAAGATGTTGGTTCATTTTCCATATTTTTCTATGTCGAGCCCTGATTTCATGATTTTCTCTGGTGAAGTTTCGCCTAGCATCAAGTCACACTCTGGCGTCTGGCGTTCAATTGACGTCTACCATAGCTTCGCCCGCGTAAAATACCTCGATAAACTTGATGCGCCGCGATCTTTTCACTAGTAAATATCAATAAAAAGCCTCAATCCCCCACTCGATAGTATTTATTATCGCAACAATTGCAGTGGCAAGATATCCTCAGTATATAGATCGCTGTACATGGTGTAAACGACCATCTGATTAGTTCAGAACAGCCCGGTTAGCTCAATCGGTAGAGGTTAGTGGCTATCAATCACCTAATGTCAATCCTTCATATACTAACATCCTTAACAGCGTGAGACTCTTAATCTCAAGGTTGCGGGTTCGACCCCCGCATCGGGCTCAATTCCCGATGCATCTCTCCCAAAGAGATACTTCGAATCATATTTTTTTTTTTCGAAAATATTATTCTTCGTCTTTTACAGATCAAAGGGTAACAACTATTAATCACTCAGTGGCTGTCCAAGACTCCAAGCCATGTCATAGCCCTCAATATCCCCGCGAGTCACAGCACATGGGTTAGGTAAGTCCACAGTAGCCAATGTTGCCAACAGTAACTTTTCCCTTCACAATTTCAAGGTTTAATGCTTGAGTACCGATGTCCGGAACCAATCGTAGTTGCATCCATATAGTTATGTGTATAACTACATGCTCATAAGTCGTAATTTTTGGGGCAGTGTATGTACATTGTAGGTAGATATTAAGCTGCTAACATGGAGATCTAGGATATAAAGTGTGAATGGTCACCAATAATGACTTGTGTACGAAGGATAACGGATTATATACTTACTTACCTAGTAGGTAATGCTTCAAAATTGTAAGATAAGACGGAAGCTTTAGCTTATTTTATATTATATCTTATATGAAGTAGGGAATTCTAGGAGTTGCTGCCGGTTTTCCTAATTAAAGCGCAGTGGCTTCAGCGCTGAGAGGCGTCATAAGTCAGTAAAGCCAGTGCTAGTAACATCAAGTAACTTAGCCTCGCGACAATATTGACTTGAAAGGCACTTGGTAATACTCATGTCAAGTCTCTATTTCTCAGATCTCTCGAAATTTCTGGTGTACCAGGTAGTGTATGCTAGCTGCCTACCTCCTACTGATTCTTGTTTACTTCAGAACTTACCATATTATCCGAGATAATTCAGTGTTAACTGATTCAAATGGTTCCCGTGATAAGGTCGAATGATATAGAATCTAAGAGAGGACTTAGTTTTTATTATAAAACTCAGACACAGGTAGCATTGTCTCAGCTCACAGACCACAGATTCATTCCAAACGACCGACGATAACCATATCGAAAAGATGGCCAACACGACTTATGATAGAAACGGCCAGCAGGACTTCTATTCCGTGCTTGAAGTCAATCGCGGTGCTAGCGAGACGGAGATAAGGTCCTCATATCTACGACTATGCAAGAGGTATCATCCGGACAGGAAGTTACATTATTCTGAAGCTGACGACGCGAGTTTTGTTCGATTGAAAAACGCATACGACACGCTAATGAACCCGCATAGTCGACGAGAATATGATAGACAGTTCCCTCAGCAAAAATACCAAGAGCCAGAGATACCACAGCCTCATCCAGAGACAGCAAATAAATCAGCCGAGACAAATCCCTTCCAGGGCCAAGGGGCTCAACAGGGTGGGATCAAGGATGAGTTGGGTCATTATAGACAAGTACTACAACAACTCTGGGACAAACTCAGCAGTGTCCTATTGCATCCCGAAACTCCGGTGTATTATTCATTCGTGCAACTCCGGCAAGTCATCCTCATCATGCTGGATGAAGAGATGGGATGGGAAAACGCAAAAGCGATCCTTAGGTATCCATTTAGAGGGCCGTCTATCAATGCTATCATTCGAAGCCCGCAATTTCTCGACCGATTTCGAATACCGTTTCATGCTACTATTTCCATTCTAGGTGAAGCTTTTATTGAACTATACTGCGTTGTCCATGCGCTGCTGCGGATTGAATATGGCGATGGTTTAGACAAATTGTTTGGGAAAAGTGATCTAGCTCAGCGTAAAGCGCGCTTATTCGTATTGTGTTCAATTCTCGATTGAAGACTAATGCGTTACTGGCACTATCTGGGACCTTGAGGCGGTCATTCAGTCAAGCGCACGTGAAGTCCATGAGGCAAAAAGCGCAAAAGGCAAGGAACGTGGAATCCTGCTCGACTGCTCTTACATGAGCTCTGTTGCTGTTGGTTTCAATATCGTCTAGTTACAAGAATAATCAATAATATACACTTAGTTACCAACTCACGTAACGATCAAGCTATTAATGGTAGGGAATGACAGTGCCAACATACGTTCTTGGAATATTCTAGGAGGATTCTATATGCCTTCCTATTCGTTCCTACCTAAGGCCGTCCAAGAGTCTGGGCACGTTAGCACTAAAAGGCCTATATCTTAGCCAGGCCACCACTAGACTAGTTTCCTTTGGAGATAACTTTCTCATGTCTGTTAGTTCGACGGGCATTTTACGAGTCAAAAGATTGTTAGATCACGAGTACCTGGGTAAGTAGCGGCGCAGGCCAGTCATGTTCACGATAAGCTTCACAAGCTTTCTAGGCATAGTTAGACCTAGACCCCTCTAAACGAAGTCGTTCTTTTGCAAGTGCTGCCAAGACTTACCTAGAAGGCACTCGACGTGAGCCAAGTCCCTATGCTGACCACGAGAGAAACGTAGCTAGAGCATTTATAGTAGGTAAATGTACAGTTCTGACCTATATTCAATATCACGAACTAGCTCGGCTTGATATCAAAAGGAGGCACAATAAGAGAACTCAAGGGTTGGTTCCATTTTCGGCCGAGTGTTGCGCCCTAAGGAAAAGGCCCCTGCGTGGTGGAAGCTGGGGAAGACGCACATCTAGAATTGCGAGGACCTACATAGGTCCTAAGCGCACACGCGATTGGTAGCAATAATGTTATCATACCTCGAATTTTCTTGTTTCAATCCTACGTCCGTCGCATTAGCAAAACGATCAATCTCATTCGTGGGCCAAAAACATGGGTTCCCGCGTTATCGTCGACGACCTACCTAAAACGGCATAAGGCTACCCTCCGGGGATATCTGCGATAGTGCTAGATGCTACATAGATGATGGCGAATTCCTGGCTGGGGGATTGTGAGACTCCAACTCATCTAGATTGCTGACGACGATCGCGAACCCGAAAAACGAGTCGGATTACCTAAGTATTTGCACTGCAATTGGGTATCTTATAGCCCTGTTCATATGATAGATACTAGGTAGTATTATTCGAGTCTTTTATCTTTTATAGATCCTGCGCTCGCGGGATCTGCCCCGAAACGTCGATATGGAGTTTTCCTGGGATCAGCCGGGGCAAGCGTCTGAATTTGAGTTCACCCAATACCAAGGCTCTTGGCACGTTGCCGTAGGCGTTGGCAAGCCCGCGCATCGTGTGATCGGGCTGAGGGTTGAGAGAGGATAAGGAGCCAGGGAGTCGGGTCGTGATCCCCCACTGGTCACACTCTGTTGCGGATAACCTCGTCTGATAGCTAGGCGAAGACATGAGCTACCTGGGTATGTATGCGTGTTGCTGATAAGCTAGGTATAATGATCTTGACAAGCCTTGACGGGCTGGGATGAGTGGTTATCGTTCTTTCTTGGCTCGACCGGCTGTTCGAGAGTATTATATATTTCTTGATACGCAAGGTCGCATCTGCAGCCGTCCGCCGATCCCTCTGCCTCTCCTCCTCGTCCATTTCTGTTATCTCAGGCGCAAATCCAAGGCTGTATAGCTTCTTTGGCCTTGAAGTTTTTGTTTTTCTGCAAAGCAGGTCTATACGATGGGTGAGTCCCTTATCATTTCCTTGTCAATCAACAGTGCTCCCTCTCTATGCCTATAAAAGGGAAATTTACTTCTTATTCCTTGGCTTGCTATAAACCGAACTTATCACCTGTTGTTTCTCAGCCACGTGATAAGACGAACCATTAATGTCTCCCCCTGAGACCTCGAAGCCTTGAAGCTAATACGCCAATCTTTAGATACCGGCACCACTATCCCCACGGTCGTTGCTCCCGTTAGCGCGGTACGGGCCTCTACAGACGAGAAAGCGCCCAATGAGAAAGTAGAGCCAACTTCCTCTGATCATGGAGTCACCGAAGATGGCCATGAGACATACCACGGCCTTGTCCTTCCGACCGAGGAAGAGAAGTCGACTCTGAGGCGTGTCGCCGGAAAGATGCCGGCATCATGTTACTATCTTTGCGCCGTTGAGTTCGCAGAGCGTGCCTCTTACTACGGATGTAAGTTATTTGTTTTCCGTGTTTACTTATCAGCGGGCCTGCTCACTAATAATCCTTCAAAGGCAACCAGGTCTACAAGAACTTCATCCGAGCCCCTCTTCCGGCGGATGGTAACGGAACTGGCGCCACGGCGCCCGGAAGCGAGCTGACTGCAGGCGCCCTCGGAAAAGGCTCTGTAGTAGCCACCGCTATGACGGAAGCTTTCAAGTTTCTTTCGTATGCACTACCAATCTACTTCGGGTGGCTTGCAGACACGAAATACGGGCGCTTTAAGATGATTTGCTGGGGTGTGGCAATTTGTGGTCTGGCTCACATTATCATGATCATCTCCGCGCTGCCACCAGTCCTTCTCTCTGGCAACGCTATTGGCCCGTTCGCTCTATCTCTATGGTATGTAGCTTCTTGTACTGAGACTTTTACCTGAATGAAAAACTAATGGCGCTACAGTATGTTGTTTCTAAACTCCGAAGAAGGTTTAGGTATTAGTATAGCCCGCTAACATGTAATAGATATGTTGTCTATTGGCGCCGCCCAATTCAAGCCGAATATCTCGCCCACTGTCATTGACCAGAGCCCTCACAAGATTGCCCATGTTATCACCGACAAGAATGGCGAGAAAGTCATTGTGGATCCCGAAGAGTCGGTCAATTCCGTCATGTTATGGTTTTGGTATGTTTAATATCTTGATAAATCAGCAGCATGTCATGTACAATAGCTAACGTTGTTACAGTATGTAAATGATAACATACCTAATGTTGAAATTCATGAAGGCGACCCCTAGTACTAACGCAATACGCTAGATTTGCTAATTAACATTGGCGCCTGCTTCGGTATCCCGACAACATACCTAGCTAAGATCGTGGGCTATTGGGCCGCTTACTTGATTCCTACGATTTGCTACCTCATGCTTCCGCCGCTACTATGGTACCTCAACCCCCGTCTTGTTAAGCAACCCCCAGGAGGCTCGGACTTGGGCAACGTGTTCAAAGTCCTAGGCGACATCTTCGCCAACGGCGGACTGAAGCGCATCGGAAGAACAGGTTTCTGGGAAGCCGGCAAGCCGAGCGTGC